GTATACAACTGTGTCGTGACTAACTAAAAGTAATATTTAGCTGGAAATAATAATTTTGGTGGTAAATCCATAGGTTCTCACAACCGCTGTCATTCGCCGGATATATATTCCCGCGACGCTTCCACGAGTGTTGTGAATGTCATAAAAATCTGTCGTGATCGTGTAAACTGCACTACTTTGGGCCATGGTGGAAGTGGGTGACTTAAGACAGTTTGCTGTTCTCTACACACTCGACGACATATAAAACTACTCACATTAACGTTGAATGATGGGAGGGTTTTTTTCCCGTTACAGGGGCAAGGCAAACGCGTGAATATTAAATGTAAAGAAAAAGCAAAGAAAGGTCTAATTAAAACATTTAGTCTGCAATGAAATAAACCCTCCCGCGTGCCCTTATTTAAAGGGCGGGATCCAACAACTCAGGAGCGAGAGGGCATGGGGCACAACACGGTCAATGTTAAACTATCTGGAAACAAATGTGAAACGCCATAAGAGGTTTTTGTTTAGATCACGTAAATATATAAATGTGTCATTAAAACCCGCCACCACCCGACACAGCCAACCAGTAAGGGTTATCACGTAAACAGAACATGCCAATTCGTCACTAGTACAGCACACAAGTGTGTTGGAGAGCCAAGCCACAACATCTACAATCTGAATATGACGTCTTGCCAGTAATTACAACTAGCTTCATGAGGTGGCAGCCAGATTTGTGTTGCATGTGGTGGGGGAAGCGTGGTTGCTACCATCTCTTTTAGGATGTCTGACCATGTATGTATGTTGAACTTCTTTCGCACCGTACGTCACAAACAATGCTAATGGAAGGTGGGGGGGAAGGACAACGTGGGAGAGTAAGCCAAAGAGTAAGCCAACATATATTCCAGAGGCGCTTTTAAGATCTCCTTCTTACTCAGATTGTAAATGTTGTGGCTTTGCTCTCAAAAACATCGATGTGCTGTACTAGTAACGAATTGGCATGTTCTGTTTACTTGACAAACCTAACTAATTGGCTGTGTCACGTGGTGGCGGGTTTTAACGACACATTCATATATTTACACGATATAACCCAAAAAAAACCTCTATTATGGATGATATTGGTCGTGAAAATCCTACGTGTTAAACAAATGCGAAACGCTCAACAAAATGAGTAACGATACGGACTGCATCGGTCTATCGTGCATTTTGCTCTTGTTTTAACCAACTCTGTATATATTGTACCGACATTTTGTTATTTTATTGAGATAATTTAGAAGCGTGGCTGAGCCTACAGACGCTACGAGGTATATGGATGAGTTTGTAGAAAGCTAAAAAAATTAACAGAGCACGTGTTATGAAATTGCAATTGAAATAGAGTTACTGAGTTGGCTTATATTGTCGTTATGTTTATTGGTCAATTAACATGAGCGGCTGCAATAAACTAGACCTTATTGTTTGTGTAATTATCAATCAACAACATGGAACATGTAGGATAATTACGCATATTTATCATAAAAGATGTAACTAAATGAATGTATACCACTCGTTTCACTATAATACACTCAGATTTGAGTGGAATTGTTTCCGAGAATTTCATATTCTATACATTGAATGCATCTATTTAGGTCAGCAGCGAGATGTTGCTCTGCTACATCAAAACGCATTTTCTAGTTCAAGGCTCCAGATGTTCCCATTCCTTATGCGTCTCGTCTCAAAAGGCACGCTCTCGCGCATAAATACTGCACGTACGATGTAAAGTTGTGCGGGTGCTCACATATCAGCTGGGGGGGGGGGGGGAAATAACTGTTTGAAAACCGATGAGCACAGGTCAATTATGAGAATTAATGCACATCCATTCATGTACAGAGCCAACGATGCGTTTACTGTATTAGGTGTTTACACCTCTGGTGGGGATGGAAAAAGCTGTTGAGCCCCTGTGCCAGCACTCACGCAGGCGCTCGGGCTAATTAGTCTGCGAGACTGCGGCCCTGTCCCGTGTCCATTAGCAGCGTGGTGCACGGGAAACACGCGCGATGGGTCGGATTCGCCACCGGCTCAGTTGACTGAGTAACGAAGTAGCTGTTGTATAAAAAATGTTATTCTCAAGGGGGACTGTCTGCATGCTCCAGTGTGTAACGTAGTGGGGACCATATCGGTTGGTAATTCGTATACCATCAATGAAACTTCCACATGATGATCGATGACAATTCCACATGATTAGACGACTGCTGTCAATTTTTAAAGTGATAATCATTTTATCCACCGTGAAGGAATTATGAAATGAGTCAACCGACCACCAGGATTTGAACGTGGAATGCTCTCAGTGTGTGGTGCATATGCGTGCAGTAATATTTGAAATGTTTTTTGTTATTGCCACTTCAGATGTAGGCCAGGACCACTTAAACACAGCTTTTATTTATGCTTAAATGATGCTAAATTAATTTGCATTAATCTTGACAAGGAAATAAAAGAAAACTGCCATTTAATGGAGCTCAACAGCAATGGATGCATACTGTCATGTCAAGCATTGTTTCTGATCATGAATAAGAACACAGGATAGGGAGTTCTATATTGCATCCCTTAACAATAACAACACATCTTCATGTCTTAGTCTTTGGTCAAGATAGAGCGGACCAACAGCCGTATGTTACGAAACTGTTGAAAGTTAAGATTCAAACAAGGAACTGCGTTCGTCATGGTGCACAACAAAACCGGACATTTTACAAGAACATAAATGTTTTAAAGCAAGACATTACAGTAAACAATTTCATTTTAATTGACAGAATGTTTGACCGATTCAATAGCTTTGCCACCGGCTTGAAAGACAGGATGAAATGAATTGGTGAATTGGGATTAACTGTAATATATGCAGAGGGCTCTATGATTAAACATTTCTACCAATGTGGCTCAATTGTGTCCGTGCCAAGGAACGAAACAGTTTCAGCGTCTTGGTATATTTGTTATCGAGAGGCAACATACTATTACTTTAATTGTATCAGTATGCTTTATGTATTTCTTGTTCCATCACTTGCCACTACTGTGTCGATACGGGAAACAGACATCCAACCAAAAAAAGTGCCTTGGAAATGCGTTGATTCGTCATGTTTCAACGTTTAAGATTGCATCATTTACAGGTTGCAGTTTACCTTGCTCAATCAACCTCGCGACAAATCCCATTCTAAAACACCAATCCTTCGCGTGTGCATGCAGGCTCTCGCGGCACGTGATAAGATATCGGTTATTACTGCAAACTGCATAATTGCGGAAAGCCTCTGAAGCTGCAGGTATACAATGCCAAACTATACGTATGTTGGTAAGAGCGCTGCGGTTTTTTAGCAGCCCGCAGGGCTGCGCCGAAACCTTGCTCACTTCCCCCAGTTTTATAGATGGTCCTCGGTCTCCATCCTCCTTGTCCCCCCCCCCCATCGCCGCCGCCGCCGTCCCCCCCACAAAGCAAGACTCAGGCGCCACAAATTCCCACCGCTGCTAATCCGTCACACCCGTCAGCACAGAATCACACCGCTACAATAACCAAAACATCGTCAGGAATTACTTACATCTCCTTTGTGGTTATTGTATTATTTTGTTAGTTTCACTTTACTAATACTGGAGCCGATGGGGGGCTGTATTCAACGTAGACATCGGTGGTGAGCAGCTGTGCTTATGGCTCACAGATGATGAAGCACTCGTTTATGAGAATCCTGCGCAGTGGAAGTCTTTAAATGTTTAATAGATGATACGTCTTGGATGCATGCGCGTGGACAGATCGAAGGTCAGCGTTTGGCTCTGTGAACACATTTACATTTTACCTATTCCCTCACAGCAGTAGCTTTTCTGCCCTTCCCACGGATAAAGTATATTATGCGTATTTTGTATAAATAATTGTGGCGCCCCGTCTTAATGGTCCCCATCTTCACTCGAGCGTGTTATTACTTTCGACTGAAAATGCGCCTATAAAATTACGGGGATTTAACGTCCCTTCACAACCACTAGCCACAGATTAATCACGCTCCTACCTTCAAAAAGGTCAACAAAAAGAGAGCTGTGTATATATTATAGATTACCAATAAAAGCTACATTACCAATGCCTTAATAGAAAGCAGATTTTTTTTTGTCTTGAAACTGATCTATTTTAAACACTCAACAAATTGCGTCCAATAAGAGCACATTACTTCTGCCTCTATGCAGATGTTTAGGAGCATTTTCAATGGATAAAAGTGAGAAAAAGCATCAACTTTCAGACCTTAATTTAAGGATGCACTTTCGTTTGTAATATTGTAAACATTAAAAAAAATATCTACTTTATAATTCTATATCATATCACTTTTTTCGCACTCTATGGTCAATATAAGTAAAACAATTCGTGTAATTAAAAGCACACGACAGTTAAAACGTCTCATATTACCCATAATTGCCTTCTGCATGTATGACGGCATAACAAGTAAAACCTCACGCTGAAAGTTCAAGGCAACTGTTCAAGGAAATTATGTCAAACACAGGGCACTTGGTCTGTCAAGCACAGGTTAGGTACTTTTGTAAATGCTGGCACAGTGCAATATAATGGGCGCATTCAATTTTACACCTCCAGCCGTATGTCAACAAACAGGTTTCAAAACACGTTCATGTAAGTAATGTGTTTTTCTTATTTTAATATAAACATATAAACGTCTTAATAAAGTAGACATTATCCATAAGTCGGACCAGTTTAGTCTCTGGAGAGTGGCCAGGAAAGTACGTGTCAAACTCATAGAAGAGCGTTGTCAAGTCGTTCACACTACCCCGTGATTTTTACGAACTCAAGAATGCCACACTGTCACGAGATGCCGCATCGGGGGCTGATGTGAAAACTAAAAAAAGACAAGACACACACACACCGAGCATTCAGCTCGCACACAGGCACCCACCCACAGTTTCGTCTTTTATTACTGGTTCCTCTATGCCTGCTGTGACACACCACAACAACACACTGATCTCGTGTCCACCGATCGTTAAGGTGACCCCGGGTAAACGAGAGGCTTGCTCACCTTCTTGAGACGCGGCTCCGTTTAGAAGCAACCAAATTATCAGCAAACTCCATCCACCTGAACTTCCCATCTTCAGAGCTTCTGTTATCTCAGTGCATCTCACAGCTGCCAAGTGCTTAAGTTTGGGGGGGGGGGGTGGTGGAGGAGGGCGGTGGTGGTGGGGATAAAAAAAATACGATCAAATAAATAAACGGATGTTGAAAGCTGTCCTTCTCAGGTGTGTTGGTAACTTCCACGGTAGGTAGGGCAACGTCGAGCCTCGGGTACCCCCACCAGTGTTGGGAGCGCAGAACGCTCGATGCACAGAGGCAGAGGCAGCAGCTCACACTGTGGTATCACACGCACGTGTCGCGTCTCACGCAGCAGAGCACACACGCGCACGCCCGTTTCGCATCACGGGCGCGCCCGCCCGCCCGCCTGCGCGTTCACAGCCCCAGTCCTCCTCCTCCTCTCCTATGGTGCACCGCCTGAAGAACACGAGGGTCGGCCCAGACTATGGGGATGGGAGTGTGCTGATGTGGGGGCGGAGGTTGGAGTTTGTATAACGATGGGGAATGTTGAGTTTGGTATGGGAGGGAGGGGGTGAGTAAGGAGGTGTGGAGTCTAACTCTGAAGGGTAGAGGCTCACCAGGGTTGGGTTGGGGTTGGGGAGGGATCAGAGAGAGGGAGGAGATGGAGTTTTAAGGCAATGAAAAAAGTGTGTGTGAGTGCATTAATGTACGCGTGTGTGTAACTTGCTCGCTAATGGCACTTGGCCCCCAACAGTCCGTTAAGGCTATACGAGGATATTTGTATTTGTATAACTTTACAGGCGAATGCTGTTCGGTCTGAGGGTTAAGGTGAAACTGTGCAGCATTGTTTTATGTAATATTAGTATTAACGTTTTCACTTTAACCTTATTAAAATATAATTTTAATTATTAAATGGAGTACTTAGCATATACGCTCCGTTTAAGTATATCGTTCAGCATGTAATTACTGTTGCACTAACTTTATCATGAGAAGATAGGTTTCGATGTGTTTAATGGGAACGCTTAAATCCTGCTGTGAAATGAAATCGCTACAAACTTAGATTTTTAGAACATTTCAGTAGCAGAAATAATCTAGCGTGGGTCTATCTGGTTAAAGAGTGTTCCGTGTGATAAGACACGCTATTACTACTATATTTACCCACGAATGTCAGTGTGTAACGCGCGTGACGTCACTCCGCGTCGACCAGCCCCCCTCATTAATAATCATTATAAGGTGACGTCCTCCAAATTAACTCCCCTGCCATTCATAATAATTAGCGGCTGACGTCACTCCACATGGGGGGCCGAGGCGCCTCCTGCCCCCTCCTCGGCGTCAACTTACAACCCTCACTACAAAGGCAGAACCCTCACGTCTTCGTAACGCTGTTGAGACATCAAAGTAAAAAGGACGTAATGATGAACAAGGGATTATAACCTTGAAATGAAATAGGTCCGTGTCACCGCGCCCTTACAAATTGCACACGAATAGATGCAATTAATATCACGTCGCGGTCTGCTTTTCACTTGCAAGTTTCATATTTACTGCAATACACCCGTCCTTGGACAGGCAAAAGGCTAGTCTTTTGATAACACTTTAAATTTGATCAACTCAACCATACACATTTCCACATAGAATAATGCAGGTGTTTAATGTCAACTATTTAAAACATAGTAACACGTCCTCTGAAACACAACTAATATCATCTGCTAAGTAGCTCCAGACATACCTATAGAAGACTTAAGTCAAATTATAATTACGGTCATCTCGCCAGCGTGGTGAAGTATAGTTAAGACAAAGATCCCCCTTCCCCTATAGCCTTGATCAGACTGCAGGGGCAAGTGTATGAAGACCGGCACGGCACGCTAGGAAGTGAGTGGCGAGCACCACACTGGGCCGCCTTCACCCCCCCCCCCCCCCCAGTGCTAATATTTACACACCGCATCAGCTACTCATTTAATGCTGAGTCGGTGAAGTATGGTTAAACAACCCCCACGGACCGACACGTCACAGAAAACCTCAACATCCAGTAGCCTCTAACGGTGACTCAGGAACAACTCACTCCAAACACCCCCCGATATTGCCCTGTGCACGGTTCACACGCTATCAACACAATAAAAGAGACAGCCCTAACTTATTCCACCCACCCCGCCATCTATCCCCCAACCTCCCATCAACGTTGGGGGTGGAACTCCACCTCCAATTCAGCGAGAAGACTCCACCCCGCAGTTTTCGCAGAGCCACCCAACTCGAGGTCGAGCTGTCATCCCCTCTCTGGGTGCCATTCCAACCCATACCCCCACCTGGACCCGGACCCAGTGTCGCACGCCACCCGACTCCGTGCTGCTGCTGGTGTCTTGTCACACCGCGCACACGCGCGTGTGTGTTGTGGGCCCTGCCGCGAGGTTGACTCAGCCTCAAATGAGTACCAGGGTGCGGTGTGAAAACATCGCCACTGGGGAGACAAAGGCGGCCTGGCGCGGTGCTGGCCACCCACCCCCTCGTGTGCCACAGTGCCGGCCTTCATAGGTGCTACTCGCTAACAGCACTTGCCCCAACAGTCTGTTAAAGGCTACACGGGGGATCTTTGTCTTTGGTGTGTGCCCTGCTGCCACCGCAAATGCGTCACAATCTTCGCCCGCTCGGGTCTCATTTTCCAAACGCGTTTCGCATAAAACCCGCAAATTGCTGTTCACTTTTTGGAGCAAACAGTGTGGTTGGTGGCTAAATACAGATTTTGCACATTACATTTTAAAGTCTCACTTTAAGTCGCATTGTCTGTCGGTCACGTTGCTGCGTAGCGGTTCTTTCGTTACTGAATATCTAATTGGACCAGCTATATCAGTCTCGATTTGAAGCTTTCGTGACTGCAGCAATCCATACTCTTTGGTTCTTTCGGTAAAGTCACGTAAGTAGAAAAAATAATAGATCACGAAGTTTCGATCGCAGTTTTTTCTTGCTGTGGTTGTCCCACCTGATGACGATTGCTTGTGTTGCGATCGAAACGTCGTGATCTATTATTTTTTCTACCTACGTGACTTTACCGAAAGAACCAAAGAGTATATCAGTCTTGTTTAACTACTAGACACGACCTTTTGATATAGTGTGTGAGAGTGGTATAATAAATAGGTTCAAGGGGGTTATGTAGTTTGTCTGATTTTCGTAGTTTCATGACGATTGTCTTTAATAATATATGAATTTAAAGCAAGTATTTATTTTACTTGCTTCCATATATAAAGCTTAGGGTTTGCACATACGTATACTCAAACATATGTTTCACTCTATACAATTACAGGTATCCAAAATAAAACGATTACAAACAGCTTTTCTTTCATACAAATAACACATGTAAATGAATGTGTGTTATGCTTAACAATGTATATTGATAGGCATCACAAAATCGTACACTGTTTTGGGATTAGTGGCCGTAAGACAGCGAGAATGTGTATAAGAACAATTCTTACAATATATTAATAAAAAAAATTACGTGTTATATTCCCAGGTAAGGCCCACTGAGCTATATCCTTTTTCAGAAGCGAACAGGCCACAAATGATAGCTGAACCAAGTGGCTTATCGTATGGACATTTATAGCAGGCAAAGGCTCTAAACTAGGCCTCGGCAAGGTAAGGTAAAAGTTAAAAGGTAAAAACAACGAGCCTATCTTTACCCTACATTTTACCTTATCACAATACAATCACTCTACCCTCCCTTTTAACCTTTAAGCAGGTAAGATAAAAGGTAAAAAGCAACGAGCCTACCTTCACCCTACCTTTACCCTTACCCCATACACATTACCCGATTACAGGGTAATTACTAGGGAACTACTACACATCAACAAGGTTTATAACGGTAAATGCTAGGTAGATCGCTTTATGCATATAGAATACTCTCGATGATTCCAATTTTACACACTTGTTGTTGTCATTGTTGTCGTCGTTGTCGTCGTTGCCGTCGTCGTATCCTCAAATCTTGTAACTCAATTTTAACCCACTTCCTAATGTGGTATCGTCTGCAAACTTGGTATACTTATGTCATACTGATGACAATACTATATTCTATCATAAACATATATATTTTAAAACAATCTTTTGTATATGTTATGTTTCGGCTTGGGTCTAATTGTCCACGGTCAACTGACGTTGGCTGTAATTGGCCATGGTCCCTTACGTCATGGCAAGCTTTGTGGCCACTTCCTGGAGTCGTGGAGTTCTGCCATTACTCGTACATTTAATAAAAGTGTGTTTTTAAGAAAGTTTTTTTAAAATATTACTTATTAAATGGAGGCCACGGACTGCGCCATGGAGCTTTTAGCGGTAAACAAGGTACCGTATTTACTGGGTAATACTTCGCGCTACCTTTACCCTACCAGGTAATTCTTCCAAGCTACCTTTACCCTACCCTTTACCTTACCCCTTGGCATGTCGACATCTTTACCCTTTATCCTTACCCTTTTACCCGGTAAAAAGGGTAAATTACCTTACCTTGCCGAGGCCTACTCTAAACGCATGTTTCTAATGTGAAGGGAAAAACTGGAGGATCCGGAGAAAAATTCACGCGACCACGGGGAAAGAACATGCAAACTCAAAATATGCAGGCGTCAGAGTCGAGATCGAACTCACGACCTCCTGCATACCAGGCAAGGGAGACTAACATCTCGCCACCGTAGCGCCCAAAATATTAGCAATAGCATATTTTTTTAGTTTTTCGTGATATGGGAATTGGTATAACTTAATTTAATCATGCACTCCCCTCATTGTTTGGAATTGATAGTGTTTGCGAGGTTTATTTATCCAATCAGAAGACCTCCGACTGCCATCTTATTTGATTCTGTTCATTGCAAGTCTGTCGATTCTCCCCACAAAGCTGCCAGAGACGCGGGAAAGCGCTATACGGCTGTAAGTACTGCACCCTGCTGGCGTGGCACACGCAGACAGCCCGAATGAAATGCGCATGCTGAAAATGCTGTTTGTGCCGTGACTTTCAGAAGTGCCGTGATTACAATAAATCACATGTTAAAATAAATGATGCAACCAGGGCAAGGCTAAACCTTGAAATGACTGCATAATCAAATACAGAATGTTGGTCTATCTCAGTTGGTTGTGAATCCTTTTACGTGCTAGACAAGGCCCTGGACATGAATAACACGCGTTTATAGGTACATTGATAACGTGACGCTACATCAAACAGCTGCATGAGCGTGGCGAACAGAAATACTTACAATTGTCAACGCACGGTAATCGGCAGCAAATCATCTTCGTGAACAATATTCCGCGAGATGCCCATGACAGACTTACACCATCATCAACAGCATTCATTTAGCAATCATCATGATCATTACTATCCATGGAAAGATAGTGTCCACTGCACATTTCGTCATTTGTTTCCAGTTTTCTCTGTCTTGCGACAATACGCTTAAGTAGTGGCCACATCTTTCTGGCACCAATCTCTTATATCGTCGTTAGATCGTACTCTTTTTCC